AAATAGGACTTGTTGGACGTACTGGATCTGGAAAGTCAACAATAGCATTGGCAATGTTTCGATTTGTGGAGCCATCAGATGGAAAAATTTTAGTCGATGAAATTGATATTTCATCTGTTGGTGTCGAAGATCTTCGGTCAAGGATAACTATAATTCCACAAGATCCTATATTGTTTACAGGTAATCTTGGTTAAAGATAAACTGTTACCTGCCTTTGCTGATAAAGTAATAATTACCTGCCTTTGCTGATAAAGTAATTATTACATATTTTTTTTTCTTAGGTACAATACGGTCAAACCTTGATGCATTTTCTCAATATGAGGATAGAGAAATATTGGAATCATTACGACGTGTTCACTTAATTCCTTCTGCAGAGGATGTAGAAGCTAATTCATTTTCAGATGATAATGATAATACCAATTTATTTAAAAATTTGGATACACCTGTAAGTGAAGGTGGAAAAAATTTCAGTCAAGGGCAAAGGCAATTATTATGTCTTGCTCGAGCTTTGTTAAGAAGATCAAAGATTATATTGATGGATGAAGCCACTGCAAGGTATTACTAATAATTCCGTTTAAAATATTTAACTCAGTGTAGCAGCTCATTAATGTAATTACCCTTTAATTCTTAGCATTGATTTTGCAATGGATGAAAAGATTCAAAAAATGATAAGAACTGAATTCTCTGATTGCACGATATTATGTATTGCACATCGGCTACGTACTGTTATTGATTATGATAGGATATTAGTTCTTGGTATGAAATAAATTTCTATTTATTAATGTTCTTTAACTTTCTTTAAAAGATGGATCCTAAGATTTTTTATATTTTCAAGATCGAGGAAATATAATAGAATTTGATAGGTAAGCAAATCATTATATTATACATATGAATTATACACATGTATTCATGTCGTTTATTAATATATTCATGCATTTATATGTCATCAACTTAGCCCATACAACTTAATTACCGATAACAATTCCTTATTTTATCGAATGTGTCAAAATTCTGGTGAATTTGATTTGCTAATGTCTTTGGTTTTAAAGGATAAGCCTGATAGAGTGAACTAATAATCAATACAATATTGACGTTTATAAATGTGTGATTAGTTGTAAAATTAGGCATATGTAAAATATGCATTTAAAATTTAATCTATATTTCATCGAAGATGAAAATGAAAATTAATTAGACATTTAAAATTTAAAGATCTCTTTTTGTAGAAAAATCAATAATGTAAAACTTTAAAATATTGTAACAAGATAATCATATTAGTAAATACACAGTAACATAACTGGAGATGTGTCGCATACAGTACCTTACATACTGTACACGAAAAAAAATTCAACGTACATCTCTAGACGAAGCTATTTTAAGTCTGAGATTCGACTTTTAGTTTTAATTACATAATCAAACTCTCTCTAGTCATACTTTATAATCCAGTTTTATAAAAAAATCATAAAAATAGTTTGTTATAGAAAGATTTTCATATGATTGGCAGTTTAAATCAATTTAGTTTTTACAGTTTAATGTACTTTTTTTTAAAAAAAATAAAATAAAATAAAAACTACAAATAAATAAAAAAACATTATATAGAGAAGTCTTATTAGGGTCATAGGACTCCAATAATATTTGTTTTAGAGAAGTTAGCATAATATATAGTATAACAACTTCTAAAAAATAGACAGAATTAGGTTAACTTCCCTGAAATAAAAGGGAAGTTTGATTATTTTCAATTATTGTTCTACAACCCTAATAAAACTTTCTACATACTTTTTTTTTATTTATTGTAGTTTAAAAGTACTTTAAACTGTATAAAAATTTTAAAGTCTTTCTATGAAGTATCGGTGGCAGTGTCTGAAATTCAATTTTAATTTAGTTGCGAGCCGCAACTAAACAAAAACTTTTACTTGCGGATTATATGGATTTAGTTGCGCATATATTTCTATGTAAATCGAATATATCTATATGCAAATTCACAAATTTTATTTGCGGAACTAGAATATACATTTCAGATTTTAGTGCGGAAACTTATAAATCATTTGTGGTCCGCAAGTTCCGCAACCCAATTTCAGACACTGATCGGTGGGATGTCCCCACTAGTGTTCCGAGTTGTTTAGTTGTCAACTAGTGTTACAAATTGTTAGCTAAACAACTAACGAGTTGCCAACTTTCCAACTAGTTGGTTTAAAAAAATTTTTTTTTTTAATATTAATGGGTTTAAAAAAATTTTAAACAATTAATCAATTAATAATTTAATTAGTATAATTCTATAATATTTTTTTAGTCAAGCTAATCTGTGTTGATTTTTTTGATTTAATTAGCTAATTATATAATGGTACTATATGATATAAAACATCAATTTGTTGCGTCTATAGTTGACAACTAAACAACTTGAAACACCATTGTCAACTATAGATGCAACAAATTGATGTTTTATATCATATAGTATCATTATATAATTAGCTAATTAAATCAAAAAAATCAATACAGATTAGCTTGACTAAAAAAATATTATAGAATTATACTAATTAAATTATTAATTGATTAATTGTTTAAATTTTTTTAAACCAACTAGTTGGAAAGTTGGCAACTAGTTAATTGTTTAGCTAACAATTTGTAACACTAGTCCCCACTCTAATACTATATATAGATTACCAATTCTCCTGATATATTATAAAAATTAATTATTAAATTAAACTTTATAAATAAAAATGTATTATTATTTTTTTTTATAGTCAAGGTTAGCTTCATTGGCTTATCACTTTTATTAGATTGTAGGATCATGTAGTGCTTTTTTCAAGGGGGCTTCAAACAAGTATATTTAGATGAGGATACATATGGATATATATATAACTTTATTCATTTAAAATAAAAATTTATATTTTTTTTTTATTAACTAGCCTCTTTGGCGTAGAGGTTTTTATTCAAGTATACTGGGTGAAAGGCTCACAGCAGAAACTTAATTACATTAGAGAGTCAAATAGCCATACATGCAACTTTTGATTGTCTATTTAAGTAGTCTGCATATCAGTATTATGCTATAGAAATTACACTATTTGCTATACCTATAACTTGACTAAGGGATTACCTATTTAAACTCTCTGTAACATACACATTTCTCTTGTATTACTAGAACATCTCCACTACATTTGTCAGTCAAAAAGTTCCAGATGTATGCCATAGCCTTAGGACAAATTTATCTTCAAGGCATCATTGCTAAAGCTTTCTATATTCACAATTTAGTTAACTTAGTCTTTGGTAATTTATGCTAAGTCCAAAGACAAGTACTTGCGAGCCGAAGTCGCTATCATTATCTACTTCTGCTCTTGCAAAGTTTATCCAAATCCCAGTACCCACTATACAGACTATCACTGGTACCTAAGTTTCATCAGTAATTCAAACTCCTAATTCAGATAGTCTGGAAAGGTGTGACTTGTTCCTGGTCCCTATGGTTAGATCTTTTTTCTTCAGTTACTCATCTGGTAGCCTGGTTGGTATAGTGTTTTGCCAAATACTTGGTCCTCATCTAGATTACTGAAATTAGTATTCAGATCCTTTAGATAATCTTTTACATAGTACCATCAAAGATCTGTGCTATCTCTTTACTCAGGACTTGCTAAACAAACTTCTATATACTCCAATACCTGGATTGACTCAGCTGCTTCACTCAGATTTTGTATACCTTATACATCATACTAATATTCTATAGCTTTCCAGTACAAGCTAATACAACCAAATTTACAGATCTGATGATTTATCAAATTATATATAGACTGCTGTAACATATTTTGTAAAATTCGAATTTCATTGTTAATAAGATTCAAACTCTTGTCCTGCTACTTGGAGGTCATAGGAGGACATTCATCTGATTGGCTGATGTAAATCAATTGCCCGGGTAACTTATTTATACACTTTAAAGTACTTTTCGAGAACTTGACGTT